TACCTCCACGTGGTGCACCCTGGACAACGTATACTCATATAGCAAGAAAGTCTGTTAACTGGTAGTTGACTTCTCACTTCAACTACCATCACCTCACTATATGTCATACTCAACTACTTTCACAGTACTCATCTCACCTCTTTCTACCTTTGTGTCTGTCTCTTTTACATCTTTGAAACACTCTTCTGCCCAACCCCCCCCCCCACTCGACTTATTTTCACTTTGATGTCCCTTCCCCTCTGTGAAGCCTGAAGTCAACTAAAGGGCTAATGATAACCATCAAGACGCCTGCCATTTGATATAAATAAATTTACGCCTTTAACCGATATCCCACTTAATAAAAACACCTCTAAACAAAAAAGTATTCAAACAATTTTGGTAATCGGGGACCTCTAATTTAGACTCAGATGAACTTTACCATCTAGAATATCTCTTATCAAAGGGGGGGGGGGTGAGAGGAGAAAAGAGTGCTTACCGTTGTGGCAAAAAATGATATTTACTGAGATAACTCAAAATCTAAAATTGATTGCCATATTTTCGATACTACAGACTTTGAAAGAATACAACAAAGGGTACGTAGTACTCCGTAGATGGAATAGACGGTGTTCAAGGTCAGGTAAGTCCTCATCACTAATTAAACTGAATGTGAATTCGTGGTTATTGGTCTGTTTCAAATCATTCATAAGCTTTCAGCCTCCTGCAGTACCATTAGTTGCAAACAAAGGATGATAGAATTGAACTTCTCATTCCAAGTTATTGGGTTGGCAACTAAGTCATTGCCGTTTTTGTTGACAGATTCACTCTATACTTTCTTTTGTTTTGTTAACGTGGCCAGAGCATCTAACTCATATTTTTTTCTTACTGTATGGGCTTCTAGGTTAATTAGTAAAAAGTTTTTTTTGTTTAGTTCTTTAGTTTTGTTTTTATCCCAATTCAAAAATGAAAGAACAGGACGTGCACTTCCGACACATTTTATTGTATTACTTCCGACAAGGCAAGAACGCATCGCAAGCACAAAAGAAGTTATGTGCCGTATATGGAGATGAAGCCTTAAAAGAAAGGCAGTGTCGAAATTGGTTTGAAAGATTTCGTTCTGGTGATTTTTCACTGAAAAATTCACAACGATCTGGCCGCCCAGTCGAAGTGGATGAAACCCATATCAAGGCCATTATCGATTCAAATCGTCACAGCACAACACGAGATATTGCAGAGAAGCTCAATGTGTCGCATACATGCATTGAAAAAAAAAATTAAAAACCCTTGGTTATGTCAAGAAACTTGATTTATGGATCCCTCACCAGTTAAAGGAAATTCATTTGACGCAACGGATTAGCATCTGTGATTCGCCGCTACTGAAACGCAATGAAAATGATCCATTTCTGGAGAACTTAGTTACTGGCGACGAAAAGTGGATAGTTTATAACAATGTCGTTACTCGCAAGAGATCATGGGTGAAGCAAGATCAACCAGCCCAAACAGTATCAAAAGCAGAGATTCACCAAAAAAGNATCTGGCCGCCCAGTCGAAGTGGATGAAACCCATATCAAGGCCATTATCGATTCAAATCGTCACAGCACAACACGAGATATTGCAGAGAAGCTCAATGTGTCGCATACATGCATTGAAAAAAAAAATTAAAAACCCTTGGTTATGTCAAGAAACTTGATTTATGGATCCCTCACCAGTTAAAGGAAATTCATTTGACGCAACGGATTAGCATCTGTGATTCGCCGCTACTGAAACGCAATGAGAATGATCCATTTCTGAAGAACCTAGTTACTGGCGACGAAAAGTGGATAGTTTATAACAATGTCGTTACTCGCAAGAGATCATGGGTGAAGCAAGATCAACCAGCCCAAACAGTATGAAAAGCAGAGATTCACCAAAAAAAGATTATGCTGTCAGTCTGGTGGGATCACAAAGGAATTTTGTATTTTGAACCAAACGATAAATTCAAATGTGTATGTTGAAGAACTCGAAAAACTGAAGGATGCAATTGAAGATAAGCGGCCGGCATTATCAAATCGGAAGGGTGTTGTTTTCCATCATGATAACGCAAGGCCCCACACATCTTTGGTTACTCGGCAAAAATTATTGGAACTGGGTTGGGATGTTTTGTCACACCCACCATATAGCCCTGACCTTGCGCCTTCGGACTACCATTTGTTTCGTTCCATGCAAAACTCTTTAAATGGTAAAATTTTTAACAACGCGGATGATGTCGAATCACACCTAATTCAGTTTTTTAATAGCAAAGACCAGACATTTTACGAACGGGGAATTTTTACTCTGCCAGAACGATGGAAAAAGGTCATCGACAAGAACGGTCAATATATAATTGAATAAAGTTATATTTTTAAACAAAAATTCCGAATTTGCCTTCTTATTTGAAATCGGCAACGACTTAGTTGCCAACCTAATATAAAATACCTGCCTTTCCTCTCTCAATCCCAGGTATGAGAGGGTAATTAGACAAAGGGCAATGGACAACAACGATCAACTTACACGCTATTAATTCTTGAACAACTATTAAAGTTGCAGTTTGCTTTTTCATGCTAAACTGAGTAATGAAATGAACAAGAAGCCTAAATAGAATAATATGATTGATAAGGAGAATGCCAAGACACCAACTCACGCTAAGTCCATTTGCGTTGGATAGACGGGAGCTGATGGAGTGAGGGACGTTGCACCAGTAGACGTACAAGAAGGAGATAGAGACGAGGAAGACTCAGTCACAACTTTAAATTCAGAATTGACAAATTGGGAGTTGCCATCGATGTTATTCAGTGTCTCCCACACAAAGTTGGACTCATTCACGAAACCCACATCGGTTAATAGCACGTAGATGGTGCCCTAAATTGTGAATTATTAAAAGACTTAAAGTCCATTTGATAGCAAAATTTATAAAGCAATAAGTACATGGAGCTCAAATCCGAGACAAGATAGAAGCAAAGTGTTGATAGATTGACTAATTGGAATAGCAACAAATTTTTACGATCAAGAACGAAGAGCAGAAAATCGATGGATGTATCAAAGGGAAGGGAAGGGGGGGGGGAAACCATTCAACAAAATACACACATGTGAACCGACAACCCAACATTAGCAAATACTAAGAGATTATTACAAAGGGAACACATTCTCTTAAAGCTCTTATTGAGCTGTGTTATCGAGACGCATTCAGACACGTCCAATGCCGAAGAAATAGTTCATAAACAAATAAAGGCACACACACACACACACACACACACACACACGAATAAGTATTTTCATGTTTTCAGCCAAATTTTCACGTTTTGAGAAAAAAGCATCCAACAGCTTTATGGAATATGTGTGCTTAGGTCACCGATTTGCAATGCATTTGAATTTTTAAAACATGCAAATAATCCGACAGAAAGGAATTTAGCAGGATGCATTTCCATTTAGCCAAATATTTCTTAAAGTTGCTTGGTGTTGAACAGCAAAATATTCAAAGCCTTGTTTAAATAAAGCATATTTTCGCCCAAAGATCCGAATAGTATTCACCTAGTAAGCAGGAATTCAAAATAACTAAATGACAAATAGGAAACAGTCACCATTTTTGCCGTCAAAATAAACAGATTCTATTCCAATTTGATGAGAAGCGTTTTTTTGAATACAAAATGCGTTAGCGTTTCGAATCTTTCAAACGACCAAACTCAGGCGCTGTGTGAAATCAAGCAGAGAAAATAGGGCCACTCTGCTGTCCCATCGCATAATATGCGTTCGAGGGGGTAAAATTAAAAATCAATATCAAGGACAAATGAAGCCAACTCGTCGGGTTTTTCATTGGGGAGGCTCTGGTGGTGCTATCAATTTGCCCATTAATATAATGCTAATGCTAATATACAACGCTACTAATAGTAATTATGTTAGTTCGCAAAGAGGCTACAATTTAACACATTAGAACTCTCTTGCCGAATTGGACAGTGGAGGAAGGAGGAAGACTCCCAGTAAAACACCCATCAACAGTGCAGGTGGCATGTGACCCCCCTCCCCCCCCCCCTACCCTAAGTGCAGCGTTGACCTTGTTTGCGCAATGTGCTGCTGGCAAACGCGTACGAGAGCGAAAACGCGTGTGTGCGTATGGGCATGTGAAGGTTTCATTGGGGTCTCGTGTGGCTTCTTCAAACATGCTGCTGCAATGCTGTGCGAAGAAATAACAAGCCAAACCAAATCAAAATGCTCTGCTAACTAGATAATGCACTAAAACATCATCTGAAGAAAAGTAATCATCAAGACACACATATGAATGGCCTAAACTGTCAAAAGGTCAATGATTACGCAAAGAATAAAAAACAGCGATTCGAGTCAAGTGACAGCTATTTCGTCAAAATAAGCGGAAAAATTCGTTAAAACTGCAAAAATGTTAAAAAACGCCTAAGACAAAAAAAAACAGATAAAAGACTTGGGAACAATACGCTAACACTGTGAGCTCTAAATCCACCGCATTCATCAAATAGACCTTTAGAACACAGATTGGGAATAAGGGAGGGGGGGGGGGGCAAAATTACCTTTCGATTACTGCACCGACAAAACTAAAATAATGAATTTTCGAGTTTCTTCTGAAGCTACTACAGTTAAATCTAAATTTCTCATCAACAAAGACACTCACTCTAGCTTAATCAGATGAAGATTACTAGGTTTCCAAGAATCCACTCATTGCTAATAAGTCGACTTGGGACAATTTTGAAAGAACAATTTAGAAATTACAGCCGGCTCAGGCGTGTGCATAACCATATCTCATTCGGCATAGAACATTCTGGAACGTACGACCACCCGTGCAGAAATATCTCAACCAATTGGTTATCGATTTCATGCAACATTGAAGAAGATTGAATGTATTTAAAGACTAATCATGCGTGTAATTTCCCGAAATGTGCAATACATGCGCACTCCACTTCCTATGCGCAATTGCTCTCTCCACTAATTTCGGAAAAATGTCTCTTACAAGGGGATTTCGACAGAAAAGATCTCACTACTTGCGTAGTATCTGTTACAGCTCTAATTACTTCCGAGCCTAATGCCCTAGTGTGTCAAAGTACTAATTAGTATATGAAGTGCCGATGCCGAAGGAGACTTGGAAAAATAAGAGGCCAACTGTACTTAAAGTGCGCAGAAATCCTTAACATCTAATTTGTTATGAGGTGTTCAATAGACTTACCTTCACGCGGTACTCCCTGGGTAAAGTATACTCATACGACAAAGTCTAATAACCGGCAGTTGACTGCTCACTTCAAACTACCATGATCTCACTGTATGTCATATTCCACCACTTCCACTGTGTTCACCCCACCTTACCTTTTTCTCAACCATTATGCTTGCCTCTTTAACAGCTGTCAATCACTCTTCTGTTCCCCCTCTCCAATATTTGAGACTTTGTCTGATCCTCCCCTCTGTGAAACCCGAAGTCAACTAAGGGGCTGATGATGGCTATCATAAAGCCTGCCATTTGATAAAAATAAATAAATTTTTCAAAATGCAATCCCATCAACATTAGGAAGAAAAACGAATTTAAGTGAAAAGACCCACTCCTGATTAAAGAGACCTTCAAGAAATGCTGGACATCGTCCAGGAGACAAATAATAAAATTCGAATCTTGGAATGCGGGCCAGCCAGTTGGGAATTATCGTACGAAGCAAATTCAAGACTTAAATGAAAGAAGAATTTCTTGATGACGCCAAGTGATATCAGTGCCTTTTGATCCCCTAAACACTACTATTTGGCGAACTTTCTGTTTCTAACCGACTTCACTGGATTCTGAAAAATAAAAATAAAATATAGAACACTTGCACAGAGAAACCAATTGAATGAGCAACCAACAACACACTAAGCCAGCAGATACCGAAAATGTTCCAAACTACTCATTGAAACAACCTGTTTGAAAGGAAGAGTTTTTGGCAATTCGTATAGAGCAGAAAAATAGCTTCCAGGTGGAACTCGAAGCTGAATTACCGATCAGTGAATATGCGCCAATGGAGTTCAATTTTGTGGCATATAACTTGGCAAGTACTCACGCTGGACACTTTTGCACCAAAACAGCAGAATTAAAATTAGTCGGTCATTAACATCAAGCCAATGATCAACTATTACATCACAAATATGGGGTGTGGGATAGACTTACCTCCACGTGGTGCAACCTGGGCAATGTATATTCATACGGCAAAAAAGTCTATTATTCGGCAGTTGACTTCTCATCAACTGAATGCCATATTCGAATACTTTCACAGTACTCAACTTACCTTTTCTCTTTCTTTATGTCTGTCTGTCTGTCTCTGATACATCTGTGAATCATTATTCTGTCCCCCTCTCTATTTTTTTGTCACTTTGATGTTTCTCCTCTTCTATGTGAAGCCTGAAGTCAGCTAAAGGGTCAGTGATAACTATCAAAGCGCCTGCCATTTGAAATAAATAACTTCACAAATATACCACTTATTCACTTTGATGGGAGATATATTTGCCCGTAATCAGATACATGCTTTAGATGTGGGTTTAAAACCTCCAAATCAAATCAAGGGAAAGTCACTGAAGCACCTATTTCCCATGGTAACCCCACTAATTCCAAGTCGGAAAGATCATAATTTCATATACCTTGATTTCAAGGCCAGGCCACGTGATCTCAGATATTAAAAAATATATACAATAAGATATAAAGGCAAACGAAAGATGATAAACACACTTTCAATCCTGACCTCAATTCAAGTGAAATTGAATTAATCAAAATAATAATGAGAACGTAGAAACACATCAAAGCTGTCCTGAAAAATGGACACCTAACGTAAATACATATCTTTACACATTTTCTACAAAAATATTTTTGCCTAAAGTTGACAAGTCAAGTGATGTCCTCCACGTGGAGATTGATACGCTAGTAACTACTTCGAAAAAAACAAGGTCATCTGCAAGTAAAGACCCAACCGGTTCTTAAGCAACAACCCAGTTGCATTCCTATTTTCAGACCAATCAATAATTGCGGCCTAGTAGTTAGTTTTTCAAACGTCTGAGTAACCATAATATGTGCAATCAACTAGCAATTAGAATAGAGTAACTTGATGGAGACTTAACTGGTGACAGAGCCTAACTAGTTTACCCAAGTTGTTTTAATTTGCAGGTGAGATTATGTCAAAAGAAGAGCTCGAGAGGGGAAAATAGAAATGCGCTGATTTAGGGTCAAATTGATCTACTACAAGTAACAATAAAAACTAACCTTTTTCTTGTAGATTGTATTGAAATGATTGTTGCGGAAGAAAACAGCCAATTCCTCTTCCCGGAGGCGGTCGTTTAATTCACATAAGCCACACAGCGTTAGTTGGGAGGCCGTAGACTCCAGAAACTCTTCGGCTAACAAACCTGCATGGAAAAGAAGGATCAACACAACATGGTGAATTGCGGAGGCGACCTCTATATTTGTAGCAGCTAAAGTGTCCGTCTGCAAAATCAGCGGTTACTGGTTTACTGCCCATCGGCACACACGCTGTTTGGCTAACAAAGAGACTAAGGGAGCATCAACGATCCCATCACCTAACCAAAGATGAGAGCATTGCGAAATCCCCCCCCCCAATTATGAGGTTTGGGAATCATCGCAGTACCAAGGTGAAAAGAGGCGAAGAGTAGAGAATAATGAATCCTTCCCTTGACCTTTGATTGATAAATATCGAAGTGTTAAATCATATGTCGAACGCGACCCCGCAAAACTGAAATTTCACTGTTTAATTATGGTTTGCAGCTCAGCTAATTTAAAAGTATAAAAAATATCACTCCAAGTTATGCAGAATTAATCTATAGAGTTTAGAACCTTTCTCTCGAAAGAATCCTATAGAGTTTGGTAAGCGTACTCAATGCAACATAGAACTTCGTGGCAGTGAGTGGCGTTACAGCTACAAATGGAGCATACCTTCATATTCTCCTCAATTAATTAACCTCAAATGAGTTCTGCTAATGTGAAATCACGCTAGGTCTTATCATTCTGTTAGTAATTTAGTTATTATCATATAAATTGACCTGAACAAGTCGACTAACCACCTAGGCCAAACAATTGGCCATCGGGAACATGAACTCGGTTGAAATGAACAAAACATTGTGAAATAAGGATAACAGAGCATGAGGCAGGAAGTAAAAAGCATAAAATTTCGTAAACTTGCAGAACTTACCCACTGATTCATTTCGCTTCCTAACTTTTAGTACTTCATCAAGAAACAAAGGGGCCGCGAAATCTGTTAACCGCTTTATTTAGTTTCATTTAACCTTTATTTTTCTCAAAACCCAGATTGCTATTACTCAGATCCTAATACCTTCCCCTTCTTGCCCAATTCTTCATCTAATTCCTTCCGCCCCTTAATATGCCATCACATCCACAAATACGTGTGCTTCAACTAAACTCTTGGAGTCTCAATCACTGCAAAGCTGTTCAATTAACTTCATTAAGTGGGTGAAATATTGCCTGAGTAAGCTCTACAGTATTAAATGCACGTGATACATACCCTTATGAACCTGGTCAGCATCATCAGAGGTTTTGTAACCGATAATCATCTCAACAACCTGATTGTAGGTCTGGTTATTTAGTACCTTCGTCAAATTCTCATCCTGCGGATCCACTACCCACCCATGGAAGATTGGAATACGGAAGAGATCGAAGACAGCCAGTGCTGTTGTGTATTCGAAATCACCAACACTAAATTGAATTAAAATACAATTTTTAATAAGAATCTTAGTCAACATTAATTACTTGCTCTCATTTAAACAACAAGAAGACCGTGGTAGATTAAGGAGGAAGAAGTTTCATAACTCGACAGCTGTTCCGTTAATATGGTAAGTAAAAAAGCTTTTTTGGCATGGATTAGGATAAACGGACCGATTGCCGTTAAAAAACTGAAAATACTTACCAATCGCCTAGACTTAACTTCAAACGTATATATTAATAGAATATAAACAGAATTATATACAAACTCTTATAAACTCACTAGTACACACACACACACCCCATTTATCACTTATTTCAACACATAAAGGTGTGAAATAGTGCGCACAAGGCAATTGTGGAAAGAGTTTAGCAGCTACTAACCCTAGCTAATAAGGTTTTAAGTTGATATTTTTTGAATAAACCAAGTGTAATGGCCCCCGTCATTACTCTATACTGATTATCGATTTTCACTCGCCTCTGTCTTGCAATGGCTCAGTTCATCAGGCCATGGTAACCATATCCTGCATTTATGCGCTCTGTACACAGACGAGTTAACTCCTCTCATCCAAATTTCTACTGCTGTTATTCAATATCCTTTCGGTCTAACTTAAACAACTGGCATTCCGATTTGGAAAAGGTGACAGTCTATTAATACTCATTGCACACTGGTCCAGCTACTAAAAAATCTATCGAGGGGCTCCCAGCGTCAGAAGCCATTTGACCTCTTTGCTTTCAAGGCGAACCCCACCCCCCCCCCCTCCCAAATTTAACCCACATTAACCCATCGTCTCCTTTACAAAAACAAATAATAAATTGATCGATTGTGTACTCACCCAGTGAAACGCACGTTGATATCAAGCCCTGTTTGAAGTTTGGGGAAAATGCTAACCACTGAGTAGAGATTTTCTTCATAATTCGCTCTCGTTTCTTCATCAAAATTCTAGAAAAAGGAATAAGGAAAATTTTGAGTGAACAGTGTGAAGAGGCGGAAAGGAAGGAGGGGGAGGGGGGTGGATGGAGAGGGCGATGGAAGAGTTTTTTGTCAAAGTGCTGCCACAGTCTTGCTTTAACAAAAGCGAATAGAAGCGCCAAACCCGACATGCCAAAGTTAGAGCACAATTCAATGAGAAATACTATGCAAAAGGGGACTCTTAAATTCTACCAATAACTTCGTCAATATTGAGTAGGTAGAACCACTAACAGCGACTAGATAATATCCAATGTAACAAAAAACATGCCAAATTATTAAAACAGTTTCCCTGAATCCACTGGTATATAGCAAGCCCTACTTCCACCTCAGTCGACAAATGCAACGAAAACGCCACAATTTTAACTAGTGCTAATTGAATAAATCTAAGGCAACTAAGTTTTGAATATAAACATTGACATGACTCCAATTCCCCAACTAAGATTATACTCACTACATTCGAGACGAGAATAGTGTCGGGGCTTTCCGAAAGTTCTCCCCTACTCGAATGAGCGGTTATTGGGGGTTAAGGCTTAAAATGCAGACTTACAGCTTTCTCTATTTGGGACTTAATCTCGTCTCTCCCCGTGGGCGCCCGTGCGTGTCCTTCTTAGGTGAAATATTTTACTTCTATATTATCGCCCATGGGCGCTTATTCAGGTGGGCGATTATTTGATACCAAAGATAGCCTCGTTAAATAAGATTTTCCGTTTAACCGCCCTGGGCGGCTTTTCGGAAAACCCTATTAGTATTGCAACGATTAAAATACATCAATAGCGAAAATAAAAAAGTTAGCAAGTGAATTTGAGGGTGGAAATAAAACAATCGTAGACTCCATTTAGATATCACAATGTTCATGCAAATCCACCACGTAACAGCTATGAATTTACACGATGAGTTCAAATTTACCCGCACTATATAATGGCAGAAGCCATGGGTGTGCGATGGACTTACCTCCACGTGGTGCACCCTGGGCAACGCATACTCATTCGGCAAAAAAAGTCTATAAACCGGCAGTCGACTTCAAACTATCGGCAAAAAAAGTCTATAAACCGGCAGTCGACTTCTGACTTCGAACTACCATGACCCCACTGTATGTCATATTCCACAACTTCCACAGTACTCATCTCACCCTTTCTCTACCTATGTGCCTGCCTGTCTCTTCTACATCTGTGAACCACTCTTCTGTTCCCCCTCTCGAATTTTTCTCACTTTGTTGTTCCTCCCTCTGCGAATCCCGAGGCCAGCTAAATGGCTAATAATAACTATTCAAAACGCCTGCCATTTGAAATAATAATAATGACAGAAGCCAACCCACGAAACAACAGAGCGTTACCTCAGCTGCAACCAATTTTTAACCAAAACTGCCATTAACCCATCAAAAAAATTACCATGTGATTTACAATAAGTCACCAAAAATTAGCTGGTATCAACAAATATTTGCCAAATTTTAGCCTCAATAACATTGGTACACGCGTTCACCTTAAAAAACTACTGTAAATAAAAAGGGTCAAAAACACGTACTTATCATAATTTAGTCCAAACAACTTTCAAATGCTATTAATCCTACGCTAAATGATATAATAATAATTAAGGGTGGGTAGAAGAGAAAAAAAATAAAAATAATAATGTTGCGAAAAATATATACTTCATTTTGTCTTATGCTCCAATTCAACGTGCTCGAGTATGAGTGTAATATAAAAACAATCTTTTAGCAAGACTTCAAATAATTGTCCCACTAAGACACTCCACATGACACTGGAGATGAGAAACGAGAAGACAAAAATCGATAACGGAGCATCATGGAAACAATATTCAAATAGATAAGAGATTTAACAGGGAGTCGTCTTGAACTAAAATCGATTGAGTTGTGTACACTGAACATAGTTAGAGAAGACGAAAGGGAATAAAAATAAGAAGTTAAGCAATTGTGGGAAAAGAACTCTTAATAACAAAGAATGTAAGGCTTGAGTCAGAACAGCAGGTCACTATATAATCTAACCACATACACACATCTATGTGTCTTTGCCACATGAAATGTTTACGCATGAATAGTTTATGAGAGGCATAATGCAACAAATGAAATGGCGAGAATGTTTTAATATTCTTGGACGACGAATAATAATAATAATATCTTTTCAAACAACTTTATTGCCAATAAACTGATATCGAATTTCAAAATCAATGCAAATTCACAATTGTTAACGAGAAATAAAGATCAATAAATCGTAACAGACAATGTTTCCGCAGACGATATAGAGTAAAGCAATTTTCAACCATTATACAAAACACATGACAGCCAGCTTTGCGAAGTGAGAAAGATGAACCGAAATAGCTTCTCACTTGAGGAGAAGGGTAGCGTAAGACTGATTCTTGCTATTGAGAAAATCGAATTTTTCTATCTTCTCCAAAAGCCAAAAGCTTAAAAAGTGTGGGTGGCCATTTCATTCACCTAATGTGAACCGATAGGTAATGAGCCTAGGAAGAAGACACTATCGATCTATTGATAAACAACTGATAGTCACGAAAAAAACAAGCGAACACAGTTTTTTCCACTATCACAAGGTACTGAGTAAGCAAATGAACACAGTAAATATAGGGTAAGCAAAAAGATATCTACTGCATGTGTCCAAACAGCATGCACGGTATCACAAATAAATCGACTTACAGCAGTAGATTGGGAAAAGAGTTCTTCACTCAGAGTTTGAATGATTAAATCACTAGATACTATTTCATGATCCTTTGGAAGGGAGATTTTTCCCCTTAGCAAAAGAACATTGGTGATCGCAATCATTGGACATGGTCCATTTTCGTTTTGGGTGATAATAGGCACCCTCGTGCCCTCAAATTGAAGCCATTTTATCTGATGTACTGAACTATCTTTGGAAACATCCGATAGTGTTTTAGCTATCGGTTCAACTTCAACTGGTTCAACTGAAGTCAATGGGTTAGAAGTAGAGTTTGACGAGGATTGGTGTTGTAGTTCAGTTGTTTGAGACTCGGGAGTTTCAGCAGCCGCTACCCCACCTTGGCTCTGGAGAAAGGCTTGATAACTAGGAGGTGGTATGGCTAGGGGTTGTGCTGGCTCATCTTGTTCCTTTTCTGGTTTAAGATCCCCTTTCATCATTTCGACCATATCAGTTTGCTCATTTTCACCTTGATTTTCCTTCACTAACTCATAGGGACCACGGACGACCTCAACTGACTTATTATCCTCAGATGTTTCAATGGGAACAGGATGGTTGACAACAGAAGAAAAAGCTGGATTTTCAGGCGCTTGGTCAATTTCTCTTCCCAAATGAATTTCCGGAGAAACCTCATCTGGAATTTCACTTCCAGTTTTCTCTACTTCAATTTGAACCTCCGTTGCGTCATCAGATTCGGGTTCTGTAGGTAGCTCCATTGCAACCTTGTTCTCGTCAGAATTTACATTTTCTAGTGACTTATTATCTGGATTCTGACCGCCATTCGGATTTTCATCTTTAGACGGTAAACTAACAATATTTTCGGAGTTCAATGAAATATCCAATGTACCTTTAAGGTAAATAAAACATTTACAACCGGTATGGAACAACCAATGACAATATGGATGATTAGAGCAACAGAATTAAAGTGGGAAATGTTTAAATGCAACTATGGTTAAGGATATAGGGAACATACCATCAGGCGAAGATTCGATGGGTTTATCCGAACGACCGGGTGCATCCATCTTACATGAAGAAAGCATTAATGTACTGGTTTATTAAATCGTGTATTAAAAATCGAAAAAGAAATAGTCTTTATGAAGTATGAAATCAATAAAAAATGAATTATAATTAAATTATTAACAGAATTCAACAAATAGGAAATCAATTAGTCAATTTTAATGAGTATGTGCAAACCCAACCTTTTGGAAAAGACCACAGAAGGCTTTCAACTAATTCTAACGGTCCAACCGTATAAATCGTTTATATTGAGAGGAATGAGTCTAAAGGTCATTAAAAACGGTTATATTTCTTAACCAATCTTCAGGAATTAAAATTTTGGGCATAATATTTTGATTTTAAATGTTATATATTTAATTTAAAATAAAATATGAACCATGGTAGGTGCTAATTTAAAATGAAGATCAAATCTAGTCAATTAGAACTTTCATTTCCTTCATAAACTTTTATAAGTAGAGTTTATAGAACAGAATCATCCACTTATTCTTTCAATAAAAGTATACTATATTGTTACTTTCTTATCTGTCGCATTGGTAAAGACAATTACTGTTTAAAATCCTAATTTATCCTAATTTCAATGAAGCAGTTGAAGAAAACATTTCTGAAAATTTGGAAAATTAAAATGTATTAAAACTTTTGAAATGACCCTTCCCCTATTTTTATTTTCAAGCGGAATCTGCTTCGCATATGAACATTCATACTTCTAGCTATTCATATCTGAAATTTGTTGAGCTTTCATTTCACTTAGAGTTTAAAAAGATCTAATGGTTTACGTTTGTTTAACATACCTGAAATAAATTTAGAAAGTCTAAATAATATTTAATCATATTTTGGTACTTTGGTATTACACTGTTAATGCTCCTCCAATTCCTTCCTAGGGGATTGAGACAGAAGACCATTAGAAAAATCGGTTTTATGTACAATTTGTAATGGTAATCTGGAAGTTTTAGACGTTGTGGTGTTGATTATATTAAGGATAAGGACATATAAGATAAAAAATAACGTAACTGAATAGAAAGGTCTTAGCATACATAAGATAAAAGCAAATATATGTAAAGATTCAAAATCTTTACCAATTAGTAATACGCTTATTTTAGTTTCATATTAATATTTCACCCTTGCTCCCCAAGATAATCCGAAACGAATTATATCCGATTTTAACGGTCCATCAGACTTTAAAACCCACCTAAGCAAACAATTTAGGTAGATCACTCACATTAATAAATGTCTTTCAGGGTCACACTTCATAAAAATTAAACAATCATTTTTAGTGTTTATTGGAAGATAAAAGATCAAGTCATCGTGAACCACATGAAATAAGTTAATAGGTTGTAAAGCCTTCTTGAAAAATAAGTACAGTGAAACAATTTTCATTACAGGCAGATTTAACATCTATGGAAATATTTGTATATGAATGGAAATCACATATTAGTCTTTAATAATTTTTAGAATGTGGGAAAATTGAAGCCAAGATATCTGACCGTAAATTAAAATTAACGTATTTTGAGCAGGCTAAATTTTAATTATTTATAACAGTTTTAGTTTTTATTACTCACTTTACTTAAAAGGTCAGTGACTCTAAAAGGTGCGCACGACTCGTACATCTAGTAGGACTTCGAGGGAAGCCATATAGATGGGAATTAAATCGAAAAAGAATGCAAAACTAGACAATCAGTAACAAAATATTTTTTAAATAATTGTAGAGTTTCCATGGATACTGTGATTACCGATTCACCAGAAGCAGACCGTACTACGAAAGTATAATTAATTCACAATATTTTCTAATCTTTTCTACTTAAGGTAGAATATGCGTATGAGAAAAATAAATCCAACTCCTCGGAACCTACGTAATTTGATATATTATTTGATCAAAGAATTGATTTAGAACTAAGATGAAGAAAATTACCTTTTTCTCACTGGTTTGTTATTTGCTAACATTTATACTCTAGTTCCGCTATTCCGATAAATATGATATTATTATGGTGATTATTGGAAGTATATGTAGCGTGTGCGTCGGGATTTCTTTTCCTCTCAATCTACTCATTCTTAATGAAGTCATCGATGGCTTCGTTATGCCAGGAAAATCTGCACTTGATACAATGGGTGAAATGATTATCTGGTATTGTGTTCTTGGTGGCCTCACCTTCCTTGTCGCATTTGTACAAATGTTTTGCTTTACATTGTCTGCTAAACGCCAAAGCACTCGAATTCGACTTTTGCTATTTAAGGTATATTATTAAATATTTGTCTAAAATTCACTTCATTTTTTATTCTACATTTAATGTTCACTTTCATCTTTCAGCAAATGTTACGTCAGGATGCCAGTTGGTTTGACAGCCAATCAATTGGTGATCTTATAACCAAAATGACATCACTTGTCGACCAAATAGAGACTGGAATCGGTGAAAGACTGGGTCGCTTTATGCAAAATCTAGTCCTTTTCCTTAGTTCCTACATTATTTCCTTTGTAAGTCAATGGAAACTGGCTCTCGTAGGCTTGGGCATGAGCCCCGCTATTGTTATATCTTTCGTTATCCTTGGTGTGGGACTGAGTCATTATTCTGTGAAGGAGGAAAAGGAATATTCGAAGGCCAATATTATTGCTAGCGAAGCTCTTACTTTCATCAGAACTGTGTTTGCTTTTATCGGTCAAGAGAAGGAAGTTCAGAGATATACGAATAATCTTGGCGCTGCTGCAAAAGTCGCTTTTAAGAAGAATATTGTCATTGGTTTCGGTGAGTATATAAATGTTACTAACTATTTGAGTGCGAGATATTGGAATTCAGCTTTTTGAATAAGAAATCATATTTGTCAAATCTGACTCAAAAGTCTAATAGAGCACACTTCCCCATTGATCTCATTTCATTTTCAATAAATAGCTCTTTCTGCTAATTTAATTTATTCTAATTTTAGGTGCTGGAATGATTGCCTTCGCGATATTCTCGACCGCGGGTTTACTATTTTGGTATGGTGTTAAGATGCTTGTGGATGGGGCAAGTGACATGTCTGGGGGTGCTATAGTATCCGTAAGTTTCTCCCATTTTAACTTATAAAAGTACAAACTTGCGCTAAGTTCAAATTACTCCTTCCTATGCACATAAGAGTGCAATTATAGTTACACAGAGGAGCGAAGACTACTGCATTATCATGACTTAAATATATGTAATAATGGGTAACTCCATGAATAGAAATGTTTAAAGTCGATAAATATAGCAAAATCCTGGTCATTAAAGCTGAATTTTTCCTCTAAAAACAATATTTTTAAAACTTGTATCTTTCTGATGAAATAATTTTTAGCAAAGACTGGATATTTTTACTAAAAACAGTACTGAAGGGTATCTTGAATCAAATTTTTTGGCCATGAAATTACTTCTGAAGTTGATTGATAGCGTTTTTTGCAAAACAAAAGCCAAATCACATCTCTTCAATAAATCACTTTCTTGATAACAATGAAATATTAATTAATATTGCATATAATGTAGTCTAAATTTGTCAATGTTATTGTGCATTTCGAGAATTTGATTTCTTCCAAGCATTGAAGTCCATATATCCAGTAAGCCTATTCAATGCAAGTTCAAAGGCAGTGCTTCAGTTACAGTGAATGAAACTCAATGAAATATTAAACTGTGTTGGACCAGAAATAAATCATGGAGTTTTGCGAGATCATAACTTGATTGCTTTTAATGGTGTTAGTTACAAGCGTTTGCCAAATAGCTAAAGAGGAAAAGATGATTTTTTATTTGTTTTGAGCACATCTGATAATCTATAGTTGCACTATGTGCATATCCTATTCATTTATCACAAATAATAATAATTATATCAGAGTTTTCCAACACAGATATTTACTAATACAATTAACTAGGTTGCATTCAGAGTAATGAGAACACAAAACGCATAGAGTGAAGAGCCTTTATTACTTCCTTGCAAAATGAAGGAGTATTAATTGATGATCAGCTGATAAGGCCTCTCAAAGCATGTTGCAGTTGATCGAAACCTTCTATAACAGTCTATCTCGTCTATGAAAATGAAGTTAGAATAATCGTCCCCTGACTTTACGATATCACTTTTCCTTTTCTTAAAATTGAACATCCGCAAAATATTTACTTAGACGGCTTCCTGTCTTTGAAGTTGATTCCTGATTTGTCAAACTCGCTATATGTTAAGTCTTCAACTACTGACATCAAAAAAGTGGAATGATTACAGACAAAATTACTGAAATTACTGCACGTTTAGTAACTGGAAAGCAATATGGAGACAAAAGAAGGTACCACATCGACACAAAAGCACTCGTCCTGATGTTAAAGGTCAAATTTGGCCCCATTTCGTTACAATTTCGCCTTTGATTTCTTAAGGTCGTTTTGGGTTTCCTGGTGGGGAGCATCGCCTTCGGTCTGGTTTTGCCCGAAGTCACCTACTTCTCCCGTGCGATTGCAGCGGCTAGGGAAACTTTCTACGTCATCGAAAGAGTAAGGCCAAGTGAAAATTATGCACCAAAAATAGGATAATCATAAACATTCAATTGACATGACGAAATGCAATAATTATGGACTTGTTCTCCTCTTTAAGATTCCTCAAATCGACAAGGACGCACGAGGTGATATCATTGAGGATTTTAAAGGCCATATTCTTTTCCGAAACGTCTCATTTCACTATCCCACTCGACCCGAAGTCAAGGTAAGTAATTTTAAACCGTTAGCGGGGAAATTGTATTTTGATCGGCATAAAATGGCCCGCTTTTGAATTTGTTATACTCCTGGTAAGCAAAGTGGTCAATGTATTTCATTTCAGACTGTGAGCAAACTTAACATTGAAATTCAGCAAGGCAAGACCGTTGCCATCGTTGGTCCAAGTGGTTCTGGTAAAAGTACTACTATACAGCTGATTCAGCGTTTTTACGACTGCATCAAGGGCCAGGTAAGATCAATCTTATTGTGGTGCAAAGAAGGGTCACAACGCTGTCATTTTTTCCCACTAGATTTTGATAGACGGACGAGACATCAAAACTCTGGATTTGAAATGGTTCCGTCAGCAAATTGGTGTAGTTCAACAAGAGCCAGTGCTTTTCTCTGGAACCATCTCCGAGAATATATTACTTGGACGTCCAGGTGCAACGCAAGAAGAGATTATCGAAGCCGCAAAATTAGCTGATGCACATGACTTTATTCTTAAACTTCCACAGGTATGGAAGTCAATGCCTGTTATTCTCAAATATTAGAAAATTGGAATATCCTTGTCACACACGGCTTTTTCCTTCTAGTCCTTAACATGAGCCAGAAGTCTCGAAGAGTAGGCAGAATCTTTAGCTTGGAGCTCTTGACTATTAACTAGTAAAATATGGTAATGGAGAGCATCTACCTCACAGCCGATTGACTATCAGCCTCAGAGTTAGAAATATGAAGAGATATTGAGTGTACATGCGCTATACACGCAAGAACGAAACTGTGGTTTAGCAGTTTGCTTATCTGAGAACATTAATAGACAGTCAACATACATGGAGATCATTCAATGTGTTAAATATAATTTGTAGAATGAAATGCAGATTCAGTAGCCGTCGAGGTGATGTTTGCTGTTTCCTGGGACGGCTATATTTTCTTCCAGTTATTTGAAGGAGTGCTAAGTAGTTTGATTTGTTATAAAGGCAGAATGCGAGAATGGGCGAGGAAGTCATAGGGAAACTGACGAATTGGTGTACATGCGTTCGCATTTAGTTTTTTTTCCGGGTGACTACAGAATTTCTTCATCATATTCCCAATTTCAGTAGTATTAATCATTATCATCATAAAATATTTTCCCAATACACCCTTGTCAAAGTTCAGCATTATTAGAAATGGATAAGTGAATTTCTTTCTCTTCACGAAATAGGCCTACGATACCGTCATTGGCGAGGGTGGTGGAGGTATGTCTGGAGGTCAGAAACAGCGCATCGCAATCGCACGAGCTCTGATCCGCAATCCGAAAATTCTCCTCCTAGATGAGGCCACTTCTGCGTTGGACACACGCTCGGAGAAAACTGTTCAGAGAGCTCTAGATCGGGCTCGAAGTGGAAGATCTGTCGTGATGGTGGCTCATCGACTCACCACTGTTCGAGATGCTGACTTAATCATTGTAATGGATAGAGGTAAAGTGCAGGAGAGTGGCACTCATGAGGAACTCCTGGCTCTTAATGGGGTCTATGCGAAGATGCTTTCGACAACACCTCATGTAAAAATATGTTTGATTTTATTAAATTTGTCTAGGGATAATGAATATTTACTTATTTATATCAAATGGCAGGCGTCTTGATGGTTATCATTAGCCCTTTAGTTGACTTCGGGCTTCACAGAGGGGAAGGAACATAAAATTGAAAAAAAATCGAGAGGGGGGGGGGGGGGACAAAAGAGGGNCAAAGGTAGAACAAAGGTGATGTGAGTACTGTGAAAAAGTTTGAAGTGAGAAGTCAACTGCCAGTTAATAGACTTTTTTGCCGTATGAGCATACGTTGCCCAGTGTGCACCACTTGGAGGTGGGATAATGAATATTGGATAATGAAACAGTGGGATCATCTTATTTATCGTAGTTTGAAAAATGAACTTTCATCTGCTGTCAAGCCAATTAAAACAAGTTTGAATAATAAGTAGGTCACCCATCAATAAAACCATTAGCAAGTGCAAAATCTTCATTCCACTGAGCTTAAGTAGAAAGTCAGCATAACTTGAGAACAAGGGGTTCTTGTGCACGAATCGAATCGAATCGCAAAAAATGTAACCTGCGCTATTAGATGTTGTGTCTTATCTAAATTGACATTTCCATGCATATTTTGGATTGAAGTGTGAGCATTTTTCTTCATTTCAAGTCCAAATCTGGTATTAAATCTGAAGCAGCGGAGGATGAGAGTGACACCGAGGACAACATAGGTCAAACTGGTGCTGATGCTGAGGAATATGGTCATCACTATAAATTTTCCACCGATGAGTTACGTAAAAAAAGTCTCTGGTCAGTTACAAGCCGTTTCTCTGATGCTCAGAACTATCTTGAGGCTATGACTGAAATGTCTGGAACCGCTAAGACAAAGAAGATGGTAAAAGATGCGCATATTTAATCAAAAATTTGCATGTTGAGACTCGGGTTACTTCAATTTCACTTTGATGCTTTCAGAAAAATCAAATGTGGCGAGCTCTGAAATTGAACCGTCCAGAGTATCCATACCTCTTCATTGGGCTCTTCTTTTCCTTGATTGCTGGTCTTAGTCAGCCTGGATTTGCCCTACTATATTCTGCAATGTTTGATGTAAGCCAAAACAACGCAGATACATAAATCGTGTATTTAAAATTTACGAAAGCCATAATATTCACCAATATTAATCATCTTGTAGATCTTCTCCAAAGCCACAACATTGCAAGAAATGCTGGATCTGACGTCATTCTATTCGGGAATGATGGCTTTATTGGGATTCGCTCGGTTTCTCGCTGTCTTCCTATCGGTAGATCTATTTTTGCAACTATTGATCTGATGGTACTACTTTTCAAACCTAAGCAAAGAGATTTCGGTTTCTCGTCAGGTTGTACCGTTTTGTGTGGCCACAATCTCCTAAACACACACACACACACACACACACACACTCACAAGGCACTATTGTGATTGAGGTGGGAACGTTGAGGGGGGGGGGATGGTACATTTCTGCCTAAGTTCTTGATCAACAGGATGGTTGAGAAGTAATGTCCCATTTTAACAGTTCAATACTTTTGGAGTTTAATTATGTTAGAAAGTGTGGCATTAGCGGAACGGACATAACATGAATTTGGAATTATGCTTAAGTAATTGCTCACATTTTCTCCAATTGGTCTAGAATTTATTAAAGGAACCATGGTCATGAGTTTCGCAAGAGAGTTCGAAGTTTTTCTCTTCACCAATCTGAACTCCTACCCCTGCAGTTATTCACTACCACCATCAAACACAAATGGTAGATTTGCAGAGCTTAAGATGACATTATGAGCATTGAAGTGCTCCGGTGAGTAACAGGTAAGGAAACGTTTTCCATCAATTGGACATAAGCAATTAATTTGCGTGAAATGGATTCGTATTAAGTAAAGTGGGATCATTATATTTTCTACTGATTTTAAAAAGTTACAATTACATTTCAACACTTGTATCTAACACAGAAATGCGGCATTGTTGGATATCAGTAATAAAGTTAACATTATTAACTATGTGAAAGCTGAATTTTACGTCTTTCATAAAATTTTCCGTCTTCATTTTGTGCTTGTAGAGTTGTGCACTGGGTTACGCAGGAGCCCAACTTACAAAACGAACCAGATCTCTTCTATTTCAGGCAATGGTTGATCAGGTAAGCAATCCACGATTTTGATTTTCAGACTAATTCTATGTTGAGGGGGGGGGGTGGAGAGGTGGAATGGGATAGATAAAGATTGTTTTCTTCTAATTACAGGAAATCGGGTGGTTTGATCGAGTAGAGAACAGTCCTGGTATCTTAACAGCTCGTCTAGCCACGGAGGTATCGGCCCTGGAGACGGTGACTGGTCTCCAACTTGGGACATTGGCGGAAGCTATTAGTCTGATAATTGCGTGCCTTGTAGTTGGTTTTATTTATAGTTGGGCTATCTCTCTCGTCAACCTCTGCTTTACTCCTATTCTCGTTGTGGCCGTGGCTCTTCAGGTAGTTTCAACACCTTCTTTCTGTATTTGTAAATGGCTTAGAAATACCTCCCCCAATTATGGCTTCTTAGATGAGTTTTATGAGACTTGGAGTTGGTGCAAAAGAAGTTCGGGGTTCCCAGGTGGTTCAAGAAGCCCTAACTGCAGAGCGAACGGTGACAAGTTTCGGGCTAGAAGAACACTTCTTCCAAACTTTCAAAGAACGATCCGCGGCAGCTCCCAGGTGAGTATGAGATATTTCGTTTCTTTGATGAAAGTAAAATGATTGAATTGTGATTCCCATTAACTCTGCCAACGTCGTATCAATTGACTCGGGTTGGTGGTCGGTATGGTTGCAACTAGGGCCAAAAATTAGGTGTTTAGGTATTAAAGTTTGATTTATGCAACAAAGGCATATATTAGGGGTCGAGGTGTGCGATAGACTTACCTCCACGTGGTGCACCCTGGGCAACGTATACTCAAACGACAGTCTATTAACCGGCAGTTAACTTCAAACTACCATGACCCCACTGTATGACATATTTGACCACTTCCACAGTACTACATCATGTTTTTTCTAAATTTTCAACCTTCGTCTTTGAAACACTCTTCTGTTCTCCCCCCCCCCCCCTCCTCTCGACTATTTTCACTTTGATGTTCCTTCCCCTCTGTGAAGCCTGAAGTCAACTAAAGGGCTAATGATAACCATTAAGACGCCTGCAATTTGATATAAATAAATATTAGGAGTCTGAATGTTCTTTATTCGTTCAACAGCAGAATGAAATTTATGCTTGACATCCGAATTATGCTTAAATAGGTGTCTGCATTACCTAAACAGAGAGTACCTTAGCCATTTTTATCATTGAAAGAAGTAAATGATTAAAAAACGGAAAAATTCGCCACAACGAGGTAGAGTAGAAATGGAGGCAACTAAGTGGGATTTCAAGTCAGCGATCACTGAGTTTGGGGGCTGTCATGGCACCTGGAAACCAGCGTTAAAGGTTAAATGGCTACCTTTACCACCTGAAAGCAACTAAATTGAATGGAAATTAAAGGTGAATCATTGGAGTATTTTTATGGACTTTTACAAATCTATGTTTAGTAAATTTTGATGATATGATTAGGTTTCATTCACTTTATAAAAATTGTATTATTAAAATTTCCGTTGGTCATTAAAATCTACTGTTTTGTCTAACAAAGACGAATTATGATTAAAATAGTCAGTTTATTAAGTAAAGTGGGCATGAATTTTGTTTCTTCAAAGTTAGGTCATTAATTTAAACCCTCTTACCCACTGAGTGCATCACACTAATTCATTTAGAACACCGGTACTCAACCTCCTCAATAAAATGAACTTTCCTCAAATGTAGTTAAAGCAATCTTATAGTGCAAAACACCTCTGGACACAAGCAAGGCACAATAAATTGATGCAAAGCAAACAAAATAAATGCTTTTAATAAAAATTAATTCCGTGTTCTGTTGACTGTATTTTAAAGGGAGAATCTCAAAGATGCTTTACTCTATGGACTGGTCAACGCTGTGGCACAGTCTTTACCAATTTTTCAGTCTGCGTGCTCATTCTACGTTGGTGCTGTTTTGATTGAAAAAAATCAACTCGATGTTCTCGGCCTTTTCAGGTAAATTTACTCAACTACTTTCCTCCAACACACTGACTTCTTCTTAAGTAGTCCTTAATAATATCTCGTGGAGATATTCTCAAATCAATGCGATTCTGGTTTAGATCATTTTCGGCTTTCAATTTCGGTAGTCAAGGTTTGGGTCGAATTTCTGCTATGGTTCCCGAATTCAGGAAAGCTTCTCATAATGTCAAGCTCGTATTTGCCACCCTTGATCGAAAAACTCTTTCGGATCCAAATGAGGGTGAATTTCCGAGCGAACCTTTCGATGGCTGTGTTGACTTCCGCAAAATTTACTTCAGTTATCCTACTCGTGCTAACGTGAAAGTTCTGAAGGTATGTACCTCGAGGGTTGTAAGGCGGCCACTAGATGCACTTGAGTAGAAGGTTGTTTACAGTTGACTTCCATCTCTAGGGCTTTACTCACAAGGTGGATGCTGGTCAGTCCGTGGCACTGGTTGGCCAATCTGGTTGCGGCAAGTCGACTCTCCTCCAATTGGTCCAACGCTTCTACGATGTGTCCAATCACGGCACTGAAAGTGGGATATTCATTAATGGACGCAATTTGCGCAAACTGGCTCCCAATTGGATTCGTCAGAGTATAGGCGTAGTGTCACAAGAGCCGAACCTTTTCGAATTGAGCATCAAGGAGAACATAGCCTACGGAGACAACTCAAGGGAACTCTCCATGGAGGAAATAATGAATGCTGCAAAGGAAGCCAATGCACATAACTTCATTGAAGCCCTTCCTGATGTGAGAGTGATGATTTGATAAGCAAATATCTGGCTTTCATAAATAATTTATGGTAATGATTATTATTAGAGATGTGGGGTATTGTATATTTATGGAATTTGCCAAGCCCACACTACTTTGTCCAAATTGTAGTGTTTCCAGAGTTGTTTGGCACCAATTATCTTCGATTGGTATTTTGATGTTTTTAAACCACTTTCGTTTATGCTCAATCATAGAGTGTAATTATTACTGTTAACATAAGTCACTTTCATTTCCTCATTGAATTATTCAAGACATTTTGCCTTTTCATTATGATTTATTGATTTCATACAATTTCTTGCAATTTTTATAAAGCCACTGATGATAGTACATATCTTATGAGTGAGAGTTAATGGAATCGTACCAATGCAATGAGTGACCCTGTCTGCTCCTGGTTTCACTTCTCCTTGTTGTCTTGTGACTAATTCTTAATTAGCGCGTCAATAGTTGTAGTAGTAGAATTAGTTGTAGTTGTAGTTGTCGTGTTAGTGGAGTAGTATTCCAGACTAGGCATTAGATACGATGCCAATAAAAATGGACCTAACTTCTAATGTAGTAGTAAACCTCTTGATTGTTGAAAGTCTACTTTATATTAATTAGGTGGTTTGCCACTAACTATCTTGGCCACAGTTAATTTTCACAGAATCTGTGAAGAAATAGCAAGTAGTAGGTCCACCTTAGCCCATAATTGCACATGTGTTGAGCATCCCTGCATTGCCTCAAGCTTTCATTCACCATTTGGCCTTGTAGGGTTATAATACATCAGTTGGTGCCAGAGGTTCTCAACTCTCCGGAGGTCAGAAACAGCGAATTGCAATTGCGAGGGCTCTGGTACGGAAACCGAAACTCCTTATCCTGGATGAAGCCACTTCTGCCCTGGACAATGAATCTGAGCGAATAGTTCAAGCTGCATTGGATGAGGCCATGAAGAAAGGTGATCGAACGTGTTTGGTTGTTGCTCACCGTCTAACTAGCGTGGAAAATTGTGATGTGATTGTAGTCCTTCAGGACGGTCGACGAGTAGAGCATGGAAGTCCTTCTACTCTGATGGCCTCTAAAGGAGTATTCTACACCCTGCATAATGTTGATGCCGCCGCGAACTAAAGAAATCCAATCCAAGAAGCTACTCACTTCTGTTTGTTTTTTGCACGGTATTTGACTAGAAATGCGGTTTCTTGAAGTTGTCTGAAACCACATTGATTTTTTCTCAAAATATCTCAGAAAAGAAATTAAAATAAAGGATTTCGCTTGCCCGTGTTTTTAAATTTAAATATCTTGATTAGTATGGTAACCTAAAGCCAATTGTTACACAGAGAAGTCTTGACTAAGTCGCCATGGGAAAATACGCTGCCATGGAAAGTCTGCCGAGGTTAGCTAGACCACATCAACAAAATTGTGGACAGAGAACGCAAGACGTGGAATGAGTTGATTGAGGTTTTGTTGATAATGATTTCATTGGCAAAGAACTCAATCATTAAGTTGATTATTGATTGGTCGAGAGGTCTCAGCAATTATAAAAGAAAAATGATTGGATTTATTTCACTATTCCAAAAGGATATTTCTGACAAATTGAAAGAAGGAAACAGAAGTGAAAGACACGTATTACTTGGCAAATGTTGTTTGGAAATGTTTGGGATGTAAAACGGTGCTAAGAACAACAATGGTGGTCTATCAGTATATCATTTTGGAAAGTGCGACTGTGGTAGTGATGGTGATCAAGAATGTTTTGATAGAGTGGCATTCCGAGCTAGTGTAGGCGTGCAAGCAGAAACCTTCAGCTAATCGTGTGAGGCAACATTAATGCACGTAAAATAATCAAGTCTATTTCAGACAAAAGCTTTCACCTCACTAGACCTTCTGTGTTCTCAATTATTCGAACATAATTTATTCAATTTGGAAGGCAATTGGACCGACGGTTTAGTCAGCTCATAATACTAACTTGAAAATGAATTTTAAATTAATTTATACCACAAATTTTGTGAAAATAAAACCTGGAGTGATTTATACTGCAGTGTTTTCCAAGCATCTGTGAATAACTTTCGCACATTCAGTGTAGCAGTTGAGTAGGTGGTTTTCAATAAGAAATCCTATTAATGACGGATCTATGACTATTTGCAATGCGACACCCTAATTACTCATTTTGTCATTACATATTGGTCCGATTTCTATCCATTATAACACTACTAAATGTTAAAAACCCTTTCATTTGATAATATTCACATAACAATTTCTTCATTCATCTTGCAAAGCACTTGATGATAGGGTATTTGAAATTATTTTATTGATGAACTTTTCTTTGAGTAATCCGAATTTCGTTCTATTATCAGTGTTTAGGGTAACTGGATGAAGTGAATTTGGAAAAGTGTACGAAGTGAAGAGAATGGTAGTCGTCAGAAAAGGTGAGATGCAAATTAGTACGTCATCAAATGAAATGATTTTAGTTTATATAAAAAATTAAATAAAATTTGTTTCGATAGACCCTTAAAAACCTATTTGTTCGGAGGTGTATCTAGAGATTTCATGGTTTATTTTTAACTTTAATTATGTCAACAATAAGAGCAAATGGAATTGATTAAATATAGGTATATATGATCGAACACATAATTAAAATCAACAGGGTATAAGTCTATGAATTATTTTTGAAAATGCATTTAAATACGCAAAATGTATGCATCGAATAAATGTGCAATGAGAAAATCGTTTCTCTTAAGCCTAAATCAGATGCATGCACGACGGAATGTCTAGTTATGGCAAATACTTCATAATTAATTAATATTTTTAAAAGTAAAGTTACGAATAAAGAGATAGGATTTAATCGACTCTGTTGGTTATCAAAAACGACGATCAGATTTTATAAAATTGATTTGCATTAACTACAACTATAATTCGTCGACAATGAAATTAAAGATAAAGTCGACAGTACTACTGTAACACACAAATTTTACTTGTGGGATTTTTTAAAATGTTTTAAAATAAAGAACAGGAAGAGTACTTTCAAGAATGTTATTACCTGGCTAGCAACGCAAGTAGTTATTAATGCAAGAACTCAATAAAGACTTATTAAGGGCTCAAAGGTATGTTCTATTCCCAAATTTTTCAAGCCAGAAATTCATATATTTAGAACAATTTTCATTAATGACAGCTTCATGAATAGCAATGACGTTTCTTAATTAAATAATTACACCTAAAGCTTTTCATTATTCAAAAGAAATTGAAAGAACTTTACTGAAAATATTGTACTATTAAGCTAACAGGATCATCTTCATATAGAGCTTACCATTTTTACTGATTTACAAAGTGAAAAGTAATAGCGATCATGGACAGTTAATTATTAAAAATTCCTATGATTTCTAATGTTTCAATAAATAGAGGAAGTAATCCAACATTAGAATAAGTTGTTGGAACTAATTTGGAATGTTTTGTTTAAGTAACCAGCGATTATTTATCTGAAGGACAAACAAGAATTTAAGGTAGAAGAAATGTGTTTGAAGAGACACAGTAAAGAAGAAAAAGGAGTCAAAGACGAATTCAGTGAAAGCAAAGAAGTAAGTTGAATTGTATCACAGATTAAAGTTTAAACACTATCATTTATGTTTACATGAAGTATTTCCCATTAATTCAACCAAATTGAAATTTATGAATTCAAATAAGCACACAATTTTTCGTTTTCCCACATATTTCCATCAATGCATTTTCGGTTTAAATATTTGACGATGGTTTATTTGCGTGATCTATTTCGTCTTATTTCTTTTTCATATTATTTTAGGGAGAAGATGTTTCCTTTGGTGACATCACCATCGATGAATCAGAAAAAGTGCTATTCTTCCACCTGGTAATTTTTAACTAAATTTAACGAGTGAAACTAGTTTCGGTACTCCGACATAAAGGACAAAATCATGCTTATTATTGGCTTTATTCTCGCTCTGGTAGTCGGTTGCTCATTTCCTGTCAATTTGATCATTTTCAAAGAAGTGGTAAATCTCTTGACATCAGACACGAGTGTTGATTTGGCTAGAATGCGCGAAATGGTTGGATGGTTTTGTCTTTTGGGAGCTGTTACAATGGTTCTAGCTTTCATCGAAATGTTCTTCTTCAGTCTTTCTGCTAGACGACAGAGTAGACGTATTAGGCTGAAACTCTTCAAGGTAAGCAGTCTCTTAACTACTAGACCTTATAACGTCATTTGTTCGTCTTATGAAAAATCTTCTTTGTGTTTTAGCAATTGCTTCGACAAGACGTTCCTTGGTTTGATCATCAGGCACTTGGTGATATTATCACCAAACTCACTGCGGACGTGGATTCGATTGAAACTGGTATTGGTGAAAGATTGGGTCGATTCGTTCAAAATTTTGCCATGTTTATATCGTGTTATGCCAGCGCTTTCACTAATAATTGGAAAATCGCATTGGTGGGCCTTAGTTCAGCTCCCATTATTGTAATTGCTTTCACTGTCATGGGTTACACGATGAGTACCTTTGCAATGAAGGAACAAAAGGCCTACTCTAAAGCCAATAATGTTGCGAGTGAAGTTTTCAATGCGATTAAAACGGTGTTTGCATTTATTGGACAAGAGAAGGAGAAGGTTCGATACTCATCACAACTGGGCGCAGCTGCCAAGGTTTCATTCTTGAAGAATACAATGCTTGGATTTGGTATGTTGCATTGAATTCTGAACAATCATTGTTTGATTATTTTCTGTAGGGATTGGAATGGTCGGAGGGTCCATTTTTGCGGCTGCTGGTCTAACATTTTGGTTTAGTGTGAAGGAAAGTTTAGAAAATGGCAATTACATTGACGGTGGCACTATTGTATCAGTAAGTTAAGCAGTTGTATATCATGGTTATATTTATAATAATGTGTTCATGTTTATCTAATTTTTTGCAAATCATATAGGTTATACTGTCATTTATTTATGGTAGTGTTGCTATTGGTTTGGTTCTGCCAGAATTTTCTTATTTCACTCGAGCAAAAGCTGCTGCGAAAAACACCTTCTACATTATTGAACGTGTAAGTATTGAAGCTGGAATATAGAGATGATATGGAGTAACGAAGTTCATATGATAACCTGTGAGTCTGACTTTCAGGTTCCCGAAATCGACAAAAATGAACCGGGCCTTGAACCAGACTCCATGAAGGGTGATATCGAATTCAGAAATGTCTCTTTTGCTTATCCAATGCGACCTGATGTTGTGGTGGGTATACGTTTGTTATCTATCCATCTTTTTTAATTTTTACCAAAGTGGAATAATCTCAGGTACAGCTATAGAATTTGTATCGACAGACACATAGGTCAAAAGAAATCTTCATGACTAATGATATAAGCGCCCGTCGATAGGTGAACTTGTATTCAGATATTTGTCTACTCTTGCTCATTGAAATTACAATAACTCAATTATAAAGTGCTTGAGGGCAAACTCCTGTTTATTTCACTTCAAAGTGCCGTTGGGGTGATAACTGTCTATTGAAACCAGAGGTCATTATCTAAGCTTAGTTTAATCTGACTCTTTTACTATTGACCTATTTAAGACCACGTTGAAGTTGATTCGCTTGACTGCTTCAAATACCATTGTTTCATTGGCGACGGTGATAAATATTACGATTGTAGACGCTGAAAAACTTCAACATGACGATTAAAGCGGGTCAAACAGTTGCCATTGTGGGTCCAAGTGGTTCAGGTAAGAGCACAGTCATTCAACTGCTTCAGCGTTTCTACGATCCAATCGAAGGTCAGGTAAGCAAACATTCAATTCCAATTAGCAGAATGCATTAGAAAAGACAATTCATTGTGTCATTTATTGAAGTTGAGCATTTTTCTGCCTTAACAATGAAGGTGATCTTGGATTAATAATAATCTAATTTCATATTAAAGCAATTATTAGTGCTGGGGATAATGATGATGTAAAGTTAAATATAGGTTACAGATTTATTAAATTAAATTGAAAATACTTCAGATTTAGATTAGTAATATAGTTATAGTTAGTAAATATATATATGCTTTCACTTAAAACGTTGTAGATAACATAATTCAGAAGTACTTCCAGCATTAATTGTCATAGCAGTGTGAATTTGAAGTTCTTTTTATTTTTATTGTTTTTTTTAAAATTTTGATACTGGGTTTTTTTCTCAAGGTGTTGATTGATGGTCATGATATACGTGAGCTGGATCTCAAATGGATGAGACGCCAGTTTGGTGTTGTTTCACAGGAACCACTTCTCTTTGCCGCAACAGTAAAAGAGAACATTGAACTTGGAAACCAGGGTGCAACTCTCGAGGAGATAGAAGAGGCAGCAAAGATGGCCGATGCTCACAATTTCATACTCAAATTGCAAGATGTAAGTTGGGGTGACGTGGGTTCCACATTTTTAAATTGGCCTTTTTTTGTGGCATAAGCATTCAGATGGTAAGCCTCGAATTGGATTTGGACATGAGTTGTTTGAAAAGAATTCTGAATGTGAAGATGGGAGAAATAAGTTTTAAAACGACCTCTTTTTTGTTTAAATCGTGTTTTATATTACCTCATAATGGTTTTAATTAGTTAGTAAAGTAAAATTACTTGGAAATAATGTTGAATGAAACTTGATCGAAATTGTGTTAATCACGAGAATTTACCTTTTAAGAGATGATATTCTGATAAAATTTGAACTGGCATGCGCATTAACAACACAACTTGCCACAATAGGCATAGTTTACAGGGAAATATTGATTTCAATTGATTTCTCTTCGGAGTAGTTGTATCTTATCACGTCCATGAGGATATGTAGGCAACGTGATTTGAATTTTGTCATAGGCTTATGATACAATGATCGGTGAGGGAGGAGGTGGTATGTCCGGAGGTCAGAAACAGCGTTTAACCATAGCTCGAGCACTACTTCGGAATCCTCGAATACTCCTCCTAGACGAAGCAACATCTGCCTTGGATACGCACTCAGAACGAGCCGTGCAATCTGCTTTAGATAAGGCTGGAGTTGGTCGGACTGTCATCATGGTTGCCCATCGTCTCACAACCGTAAGAAATGCCGATAGGATTCTTGTCGTTGATAAGGGTGAAATCAAGGAGTCGGGAACACACGATGAACTTGTACGACACAATGGAATCTATGCTCACATGCTGTCTTTGCAGGTGAGTTCCATTAATTGTGTACGATTAAAATTAATTTGTGCGTATGAGGTAAATTTAGTATGTATTTTATCTTGCTAGGCCAAGAAGAAGAATGAGGAGTATTCAGATAGTGAACCGGAATCAGACAATGATGACGCTGAAAAAAGTACTTCGTCTAAAGCTTCAAAGTTGGAGAATGTATGGAAGAGAACTGCTGGAGATGCGGAGAGTGAGAGCATGGCCACAAATAGCACAAATGCTTCATTTCTGGCCGTTTCAACACAAGTTTGTCATAAAAATTGTATTGAACTTACATTGAGATTATAAAGGGTTTTAAAATATTCATCTTTTCAATGTAGAAAAACGTTCTTTTACGAGCATTTCTTCTGAACAAACCCGAATTTCCTATATTCTTCTTTGGACTATTCGTATCTCTCTTATCGGGTGTCATTCAACCTGCGTTCACTCTACTTTACTCCGAAGTTTTTGAAGTGAAAAATCGTTTTAAAATTATTTCACATATTTCTATTTTACGTCTGATTGAATACTTTGTAGTCTTTTACCCTGCAAGACCCTAATGAGAGAATGAGGAGAACAATACTGATAGCCTGTATGATAGCCCTTCTTGGCTTGTTACGCCTGTTAACACAACTTGTAGCGGTAAGAGGAGTTGTATTACGATTTGTCTTACATCCTGCTTGGTTTGTTGGTTAAAGCCTCTTTCGAACAGAATTTGACACTGGGTTGGGCGGGGGCGAAGTTGACTCAAAGAACTAGAGGTTTGCTATTCAATGCAATGATTGAGCAGGAACCAGGATGGTTTGATGAAGTGGCGAACCAACCAGGTGTACTCACAGCTCGTTTGGCCACAGAAGTGTCGAGTTTGGAAGCTGTGACAGGTGCCCAACTGGGCACCATTATGGAGTCTGCCTGTTTGATCATCGCATCGACTGTCATTGTATTCATGTACAGCTGGCAACTTGCTCTTGTGAATTTCTGCTTCCTTCCCATAATTGTGGCGAGCAGCGCTTTGCAGGTGGTATAATGATGTGAAATCACCTCATTTTGTCAAAATTGTTTATCCACTATTTGTCTTTCTGCATTCTCTAGATGATAAACAAGAGATCTGTGATGAACATCAGAGAAGTCGCAGGCTCGCAGGTTGCACAAGAGGCCCTTGCTGCTCAGAAAACTGTCTTTGCATTTGGTCTAGAGGACTACTTCTACGGTAAATTTTTAGAACAATCAGATCGTGCTACCTCGTAAGTTTATGAAAATCTGTTCGTCTCTTTTTTTAGCTCTAATTATCAAATTTATTGTTTTAAATAAGTGAGCGTGTGAAGGATGCTGCCTTATATGGTCTGGTTCATGGAGCAGCCAATGGATTGAGTTACTTCCAAACGGCCGCGTCCTTCTATGTTGGTTCGGTATTACTCAACCAAGGTGTCCTCGATGTCTTATCCGTATTTCGGTAACTTGAATTCATTGTTGACCACATTAGCCCCTCGAAAGACTTGCTATTTAAACTGTTTCTTCTCTTCACTTTGAGAACCTTCTCAGCATTCAACTTTGGCGCTCAAGGTATAACTCGAATAGCCGCATTGGCTCCAGAGTTCAGGAAGGCATCTAACAAGATTACTTCTGTGTTTGCGACAATGGATAGAAAGACGAAACTTGATGTTAACGAAGGTATATTCCCAGACCAACCTTTGAGTGGAAACATAGTCTTCAAGAATGTCTACTTCAAGTATCCAACACGAAAGCAAGTCAAAGTTCTCAGAGTAAGGTTCTAGGCAAAACTAATTGCACCCATTTTACCAGTTAATTGTGTTTACTATACGAGGTTTTATGACAGAATATGAAGTAATTTAATATTAAAAAATTCTGTTTGAAATGAGAAAGTCCAAAATAAAATAAAAATTTTATTTTCGTAATTATGAATGTGTTGGTAGAATTTTTCTGTTTTCGAAACAATTTAACTTGATTTAGAATTAGTTGAGTTCATACTTATACGTCAGTGGTCAGTTAGTGTAATGTTACAGTGCTCTATTTCGATAGCACCTGAATGTCCCGATGAACCATCTTTCCGACAACTAAATGGCAAAATGACAGTCAAATGGAGTGTCTGCATTCGGTAAATATGAACAATGAGATCTATTATAGGTGTTATGGTATTGACATTCCACTAAGAGCATAGGGTAATTGGCAAGTGAATTACGATGGTTTTCCATGTGTGTTGACTCGAATACGTGGCGTAAGTCCCCTCCCCCCTTCTGTGACCTGTGAAGGGAGGATTTGTTTTGCCAAAACTTCATGATTTAAAAATTTGGAACTCGACTGATGTAGTTGAGCTTATTGTCGTTTCTCTTCCAGAAGTTCAACTACTCCTTGAATCCTGGCAATTCCGTAGCACTTGTGGGTGCATCTGGATGCGGAAAATCGACAATTCTTCAACTGGTTCAACGACTTTACGATGTTAGTAACCACGGTCCAAAGAGTGGGATCTTTATGAATGGACATGATATTCGGAAAGTGGCTCCCAATTGGATTCGTCAGCAAATTGGCATAGTTTCACAAGAGCCAAATCTATTTGATTTGACAATTCGTGAAAACATAGCCTACGGCGACAACTCCCGAGAAATACCAATGGAGGAAATAATGGCAGCGGCTAAGGAGGCCAATGTTCATGGATTCGTGGAGACTCTACCACAGGCAAGATTCACTTCAATTATATAAATTGGGAGATGAATGGGAGAGGTGAACAATGTTGATCCTTGGGATTGTAAAAGGTTTACAAGTGCTTCAGATCCCATTGGAAAAGCTTCAAACTCTACTGCTTGAAGGGGTTGACGTGAGAGGAGTAGACATGCTTATATTTGTCACTAACACGGGAAGTTCACACATTCCACGGACTGATGAAACAATGAGTTTGAGTGGCGAAGGTGGGGAACACCCTGCAGGTTCAAAAGGTGGGAACAAATCTACTGATTAGGCAATAAGTGGTTTTGGAAATCACAACTTCTTGGAATATTTGATAAGTATTTGACATAGAAGCATAGATTCAAAGTGTACGCGAATTCGTATACAGTGAACTGTAGAATCAGTAGGACAAAAGGGATCGAACTCTGAAATTGAAAATTAAATTATTGCAAAGTTCAATAAACATGTCGTACTGAGGATTAACATAAAACACGAAGAAAAACCCCACCAATCAGGTTCAGACAATTTCCTACACTGCGTACAGGCTAAACGGAAATTTCGCATTTATTAAATCCTCATATCATACCGTATTGGTATACATATTCTTTCGTGACAACTATTTATTTCTTCATGTTGGTTGGATTGGCAAGGAGTGAGAGAGTTTTGTTTTGGGTTATATGTGATTTATTTTTGATGAAATAATTCCTTCTTTCCCCAACACCCCTACCCATTTTATTGTATAACTTGTATTTTACCTAATTCTTCCTTGTACGATTTGGCAATAGGGTTATGAAACACCTGTGGGTGCTAGAGGATCCCAATTGTCAGGTGGTCAAAAACAAAGAATTGCAATCGCTCGTGCTCTAGTTCGGAAACCGACCTTACTTCTACTCGATGAGGCCACGTCTGCTCTGGATAACGAATCGGAGAGAGTAGTCCAAGCTGCATTGGACGAGGCAATGGCAAAGGGTGGTCGAACATCCCTCGTAGTGGCCCATCGTCTAACAACAGTTGAGAATTGTGATGTTATTGTGGTGCTTCAAGAAGGTCAAGAGTGTGAGATTGGTTCGCCGGAAGGTTTGATGGCTATGAAAGGCCTCTACTACCAGTTGCATAATGTAGACGCTGCTGTGAAGACGCATTAAATCAATTGGGGTTGTGGTTCCAGATGATAATTCTAATGAACTCGATAAGTGGCATTGTGGAAACTTATTTTATCTATGTCTGACACTATCTTATACTTATTTTGATGTGAATAATCTTTGCTCCTAATTGTCTACTTTTGCAGTCTATTACAAACAAAATGGGGCTGGTAACTATGCGATTTCTTAGATTAAAACATTGGCAAGACAATTAAATTGGAATTCTGTCAAAGAGGTTTGGTCAAAATGTCCACTTTTGGAGTCTTTTACAATCCAAATCCGACCTTGGTGTTTTTGTAAAGATTAGCCGAAAACAATTGGTGACCTCTCCCTGAGATGTGTCTGTGGGCTGAATCCTGTTGACACTGTTTACATGACCAATTATTAGCCCCCGAAGTTCGTCATCTACGGCTTAACTACTACAGTGGTGAGTAGATTTGCGTAGGTGAATAAATTAAACATGGGCCCCTTTTGACACGAGTATTTGGGGTGGGTGTGAGGGGGGTGGGGAAGGTGGGGGAAAGGAGATGCGGCCCCATCACCCTGACAGTTTCTTGTAAATTTGGCGTGTATGCCTCGAGACGTGCTCTTTGTCTCCTGTGATATTCAAGCTGCGTCCTCTTATACATTCTTGTGACTTTCATCTTGACAAGAGTATTTTGCTTCGGGAAAGAAACAGTTTGCTGCAGAAATATCTTTGTCTTCGTCAGAGCATTTTCCGGCATTTTGCGATGCGATTTGACCTCTATTAGGCCTCTGACACGTTTTTCAAACCTCAGTAGCCTCGTATTTTGCATTTCGATTCTTCAGTTCGTATAGAAAACAGAGACGCCGAAAATAATTTTTTCAAAGTCGAGGAAGGTCCGATGTACGCAGCAGGAATGGTAGATTGAATAGGTGTAAGTTAAATATATAATTTTATGACTTAGACTGCAAAAAATTTTTCTTGAAACTTTAAACGCGTTTTTCTTAAAACTGTTTTTTGAATCTGATACCCACGATTTCTCAGATTCTGCAGAACCGATTTACTTGAAATTTTAACCGCCTTCTTTAGGGAATTGGCTATGTCCGGAACTACGGCAATTTAAAAATTTTATTTTTTGGTATTTTTAAAAAATTGAAGAATGTTAAAAAAAGTGGTTCAAAAATGGTTTTTTCCTTTAGACAGTCGCCATTTTGTAAAATAATATAGCTAAAACTTATCCGTAGTTCAGGACATAGCGACATTCTTGTAGATTTGTAGCGGATTGCTACTTTATTAAAGCCTTACCGACTCAGAAATCTCTATAGCAGATTCTCAAACATCTAGCTAGACTCCCAGAACCAACTAAGCTATAGCCCAGCTATAAAGGAAACAGACGTGTAGCTCGGAGCACGCTTATTCAGTACGGGTATTGCGGAAAAAGTGTGGACTCGCAGGGAGCTACTCATGATCAGGATGGGGGATTAGGTTAAACAGAGGTTGATGATTGGTCACTGTTTGTACGGTCGGTACACACAGAGTTGTACGGCCGCACCTCCCAATCCTGGCGAGCAGACATGCAGGCATACGATTACGCAAAACGCGATAACGTGTCCCACAGATTGATAATCTTTTTTATTTTTTGATTTTAGATTGCTTGGAGAGCCAAAATCGTGGGTATGGTCATGCACCATATTTATGGGACGCCCTCTAAATCAGCTGATAAATAAAAATAATTAATTTTTTTTATTTTTTAACTTTTTGTATGCTTCTAAGGTGGATAAATAATATATAAAAAACTGATAATAAAAATATTGCTTGCTATTTTTTACAGCACTTCAAAAATAACCTAAAATTCATGCCTCTAGACCAGAATACCTCCTTAACCGAATCTCGACAGGGTGAATTCAATTTTCTGTCAAGGTTGTGTAAGAATGTCTCAGGATGTTGTGGGGTGGTAGGCCTGGGCATTGAAGTTGGCATTGCACGATCACGTGCCTGAACGTGAAGGTCTTGAATACTGTCAGCTGCTTTAGCTAATTCGTCGAGATTGGTTCGGTATGTCTGGTGGCGAAAATCGTTGGCATATTTGTGGGAAGACATCTTAACCATAGCTGTCTCAAAATTGAGTCGTCTAGGTTGGCTTCACTGGAAAGGGAGCGTATGTATTGAAAGCACCGAGAAAGTGAGCTGCCTCCTAAATCGACCAGTGAGAAAAGTTGTTGAAGACATTTCTCTTGAGAAACTGATTGACGGCTGATAATAGCTCTTTTGAATAAGTACATGGCATATTTTTTTCTGCTGCCCCATCGACAATGTCGAAGACATATGCAGCGAAAAAGGCCTATTCAAACATCTTTTCCGGCTTGTTAATGCCTCAATACTGGAATCTTAGTTCCAACTGCATGAGCCAGACATGTGGCCGTACATGGGACAAAAGGAAAGGAGCGCCAAACCGTTTCCGTAAGTATTCCGTGGTAGTGGGAGAGGGTCACTTGTGATTATTGTAAGGAAAGGAAGGGAATCACCAAATGTGCAATGCGAGTGAGAGATTGGGCCTCGGCTGAACAGATCATACAGGGTCAGAAGATCTTGCTAGGATAAGTAGAACATGTCAGGGTTATCAATTTCGTGGCATATTCCCCGTACAAATAAACCCTGACTTAGCTTCAGAAATCTCAATTTCATAATAGTTGTGTAAGCTTAGGTGAGTAGTCACCTACACCCACGACCTCACCCTCCTGAATGTTTAAATACGCCATTTAATCCTGAAAGTCGGAGGGAGAGGGAGGGTTGTGCCGAAACTGTGACATTCGGTTTGACGGACGGGGACGCTTATAGCTCACCAACCCAGATTCGGCATACAGATGGATGTAGCTAACATTAGGTCGATAATTTAAAACCTCTTACCCTCTGAGTGCATCACACTAATTCACTTAGAACACCTGTACTCAACCTCCTCAATAAAATGAACTTTCTTCAAATGTAGTTAAAGCAATCTTATAGTGCAAAACACCTC